GAGAGAGAGAGAGAGAGAGAGAGAGAAAGAGAGAGAGAGAGAGAGAGAGAGGATGCTGTTTTCTCTCCTATTATAAAAATAAATACTACAGTATGCTAATACATTTTTGTTAAATGTTCGTGTACCTCTTATTTGGATGTTCTTATATGTCTTGCTCAGTGTACATGTTAAAGAGAAGCTCTAACAAATGTGCATTAAACTACTGAGGAAACCAGGGCTTGAATGTTCTCGAGTGTGATCATGTGTGTCTGTGTTCACCGGCAAGCCGGCCTGCCCCTCCAGAGACATCTTTAGGATTCTGGTTTCTAGGAAAACATATAAAAAGGTGAAAACACTCATAGATTCCATGAAACTGTAAGGATTTCACACTCGTGTACCAAGTTCTCTGAAGGTCAGGACTAGAATGATACCTGGAATGATACTAGAATGATAAGTTTTTGCATGAAATAAAGTTATCATAAATAATAATAGCATGCATTTTCCCATACTGGACAGACTAACAATATAGTCAGTAAAACTTCCCACATTTTCCATTCCCAGAAACTGGTTACTAAAGCCAAAAGGGCTGTTCTTAGCCACTTGGTCTTAAAGTGATTCACTTTTTCTTTTCTTCAGCAAGAAGGCCTGAATAAAGCTGGTCTGAAATTCCAGCAGGAACTGTCTGATAGTCTTAAAACTTTTACCAAGGCACAATGCTATGGCTTCAGACTATCGGACTGATACCTGAGATTAACCCATTACAACTCTGCTAAGTAGCTCTAGAAATTTTAGTTACCAGAAGTCTCAGAGATCAAATAAAACACTGGTAGGATAAGTTTTGCAACCAATTTTACAACTCTAGAGATTCATGTTTTAAACTAAGCCATTGCTCTTTTAACCTGTTTTTACCACAATTATTTCAGCTCACATTCTAATAATCCAATGCAAATGCATATGTACATTGACACAACAGCATAAGACCTTTAAACCATCAATTTTTATGAAACACGAGAAAACTTTTGACTTAATTTCAATAGTTCTTGTACCTTAGTTATTTCAAATCATGAGCTTTCTAACAGATACTTTAACAATTCCACAATACAAACATTCTTTCAGAGGGAGGAAAAGTATTTTACCAAACTTTGATATCAGCATAAGAAAACACTTGAACTTCCACTGTTTATGGAAACATAAGAAAGCTCTTTATTTTGATGGCTTCTGTACCTCTGTTTGTAAAAGAGCTAATTTCTTCATTAAAATTGGTTGAGGCTTGTAAGATAAAGCCTCGCAGGAACCGAACTCATTTCACTTTAGTTTCAGGCTCTAGTTCCACAGCTCTTCCTAGATAGTACAGATTCTGAAGTACAAAAGAATTTCAACTGTTAATAACCATTAATGTTCTTCCAGTAAGAAATTTAGGTTGAGAATTTCAATTTCTCTGTAGGCTTCAATATTCTGGTGAGAAATCTTCGTTTAAACCTCGTCTAACAAGTTCCAAAAACACCTAGACTTTTGAAATCACTGGGGTGCATATCACTGACCTCGTGATGATGCTGCTTCCCCAGGTCTAAGAATTTCAGCCTGGCTCTCACACTCAAGTGTTTCACACTGACAGACAGACATAACGAACTGACTAAAAACACCACATGTACATGTGCACACATGCGCAGTTGACTGATGGATCTGCCCCTTCAAAAATGGAAGCGAGGAAACTGAGGACTGAGAAAGGAAGGGGCAGTCCCCAGGGCAAATCTGCTCTGTCGACGGATTGGAACTTGACCTCCTCACCCCCCCACACACCCCGTTTCCCAACCTGATCAGCCAGTTTCCTGCTTGTTAAAAATGGGTCAAGAAAGCACTTTTGTTGACATAAGCTGGCAAAATAAACTATAACAAAGTTGTTGAAACCTCGAGTGGTCAGATGTTACCATATTTTGGCCGAGACTGGTTCTGAGGCAGGGAGCTAGTATCTTCCTATCAGACATGGGGATAGGCTGCCTTAGTGACACACTTCTTTGTTTCTGATATCGAACAGTTAATCATATGATCTTGCATTTCCCTGCCTCCTCTGCTTTGATGATCCTATTTCTTTTGCTTCCTGCAAAAAGATCTGACTGCAAAATGGTCTGGTAATACAAATTGCCACTCTCTGGCCATCTTTCTCTGTGCTCTACTTTATAGGCCGTGTGTTGTGAGAGGTGAACGAGATGCTCTTTATCTAAACTACCTAGTTGAAGCTCCTCCGATGTTTTAATAAGCAACTCAACGAAGAATCTTTGGGCATCGACGTCGAATTTCCCATATTTCCTGAGTGCCAGCAATAACCTATGAAAAAGGATGGTTCCTCAGCAAAACTTTTCTCCAGGTCTATCACCTTCACCTCTCCCAAGGGGACTCGAACCTTTGTATACTGGCCACCTAACTTTGGCATCTCCCGAGGGGACTCTAACCCTCTCCACCGAAGGCCTCTGCTTCCACCGCAGGCGTCCCTGGGTGGGCCTGGCATCGGGGAGACCCACAGCTGTGTACCCGAGTCAAACCTAGTGCTGTAGCCTCAAAAAACTCTGCTTCTTGGAAAAAGAAAAAGCCTTTCTTAGCTGACTACATCTTCCCTGTGTTGCTGGTCTGACTTTCCTTCCTCAAGCTTTTTTACCTGTCTTTTGCTCTTTTTTTTTCTTTTTATTTCTTTCTGTCTCACTTTGCTGGCTGCCTCCGTCAGCATTTGAATTGACCTCCAGCTGATCTTCTGCTTAGATTGAGACTGGGTGGGGAAAGGATTTTCTGCCTAGGATTTGATCTCTTGCCCTAAGTTTCCCAGAACTGCCTTACTAGTGGGCTTTCCTCCTGTTCCTCCTATAATGAAAGGTGACGCGAGACAATGGAGGGGAGCCTTTTCGCAGAGACCACTCAGCATTGTGACTTGCGACCATCAGCTATGCCAGTGGCACCCTTGACTGTACGTTCTCTGTGGAATTGCAGGCAGCCCACTCGAACTCAGTGACTTTAGAGGGACTTTAAGAGTGCCAGGTCGTGGAGCTACAAAATCACGCCCGATAGGAGGACCTATCAGGGTGCTCATGCACACACACACATTCAAACAGAGGTCATCACATTCCTACCTCATCCCCCCTAGAGATTTCCAAGGGAGCGTACCTCCACGGCAGATTTTCCACAGATTACCTCCTTCCTCGTGGAATTCTTCACAGTGTGTCCCTTAAGGGTCGCCGTCTGATGTCAGTGGGCCCCACGGGTGATTTATGTGAAGCAGGGAGGAGAAAGACGGTCACTTTCTCCCCATTCACCTCCGCCATCCGGGACCCAGGGTTACTGGGTTCTTCTCTCACCTTGCAGAAAGGAATTTCAGGAGTAGACAAAGCAGTGGTGAAATAAACAGATTTTATTTGGAGGATTTTTAAGGTATGGAGGAGGAGGAGGAGAGAGAGAGGGAGGGAGGGAGGGAGGGAGGGAGGGAGAGAGAGAGAGAGAGAGAGAAACACACTCAAGAGAGAGCACAGGCTTATCCAAGGGCAGAAAGAGCCCCCTACACACATCCTAGCATTAGACACGAAAGCATGAAAGTCCACATCTCAAGAGGGGAGATGCGGGTGCCACATGTGCTTGTTGCCACGTGTGCTTGGCCACGTAGGAGCAAGCAGCACATGGGCCCGAGCAGAATATGCACATGCACTTCCTTTGTTCAAGGTGTCCTTTATAGGCTCTTCTTGGGTTGTCTTGATCCAGAAGTTCTGTAGTCTTGGGGCTGGATCACATTTTAATCAGATTGAGAGAGATGGGGAGGGGTCCAACCTCCTCAGGGTCTGCTGAAAGTCTTATCAGGTCTATTTTCTATATCCATAGGGTGGATCAGTTTTAGGATTTTCCTCCCAGAAGTTCTGTTGATCTAAGTTTTATTGCCAAGGGTCTTTCCCTGTCTACCTGCCTACATCAGAGGGAGGGCTCGAGGAGCCTCAAGAGAGGGCGCCGGGGACCCAGGGACCCAGCCGGGGCGTGGGAGCACCCGGGGACCCAGCGGGGGCGCGAGAACTTCTAGAGACCAAGACAGTGTGCAGAACTGGGTGAGAGATGCCTTCCGCTCTGTACAATGGCTCAGGGCTAAATTCATGTTTTTAAGTGGATATCGAAGACAAATACCAAAACAAAAATAAAACCTGGGGCTGGAGCGATAGCACAGCGGGGAGGACGCCTTGCACGCGCTGACCGGGTTTAATTCCCAGCATCACATATGATCCCCAGGAACTGCCAGAAGTAACTGTTGAGTGCAGAGCCAGGAGTAACCCCTGTGCACGGCCCAACAAGTAAAAATCACTTGATCACTTGATCCCCCGTTACTCATCGATTTACTTGAGTGGGTGCCAGTAAGGTCTCCATTCATCCCTGTTGCGTGCTAGCGTAGCCCAATGGCATCTGTTTGTTCTAGAAACATGCAGAGCCTCAAAGCGATCATTCAGGGTCTTGACGAAGAAGTCTGACCATCTTGTAGGTGGACATCCACGCGATCTTTTGACTTCCCGTGGAATCCAGTCAATAATGGCTCTAGTCCAGCGGTCATCTGTAAACCTCATTACATGTCCAGCCCATCTGATTTTTGATGCCTTGGCAAATGAGACAGCGTCCCTGATTCTTGATCCTCGAGGGAGATCAGAACAAGTAAAAATAAATAAACTGAATAACTAAAACCAGACCAAACACCCTTCATGTCAGTACCACTGTAGCACTGTCCACCCGTTGCCCATGTTGGTAAAACAGAATATACGGTGACCACACCAATGAGGATTCCTGAAGGGCCCCCGCCGGGAATTTCCGTGAGCCCGTGCTAGGTGGCCACGTTTCTATGGCAACCCAAGACTCTTCCCACCCCGGCGCCCGAGACCCGCCTCATCCAATCCAATCCCCGCTCTCGGTCTTTCCAACCAATGGGACGAGGCGATGCGCAGGGAGGGGGCGTTGCCACCGGGGCGGGGGCGGGCGGGCGGCGCGCGTCGGCCGTGCGTCATCAGCCTGCGCCGCGGGGCCGCGTCCCTGTCGGAGCGATGAGCGGGGCGGCGGCCGCGGCTCGGTCCCTGCGGCAGCTCCGCACGGGGCCCTGGCAGCCCCTGTCAGGTGAAGGGGGCGTGCGGCCGCGGTCCACGTTGGGCTGGCGGGTTGGGGGATCCTCCGGCCTTCCGTCAGGGCCGGAAGGTCGCGGCGGCCGGCCCGTGACGTCACAGGCGCGCGCCGGGGTCCGCGGGTCCCGCGGGGCGCTGGGTGCTGGGTGCCGGGGCCCTCCTGCGGGTGCGCGCGCGGGCGGGGGGTCTGGACGCGGGGGACGCGCCTTTGCCGCCGCCCTTCACGCAGCGGCTCCTGCACGTTCCCCTCGGCCGGCCGGAGCGGCGGCGCGGCGGGGAGGGCGCCGGCCAAGGGCGCTGGCCTTGCGCGCCGCTGACCTGGGTCCGACCTGGGTCCGCTCCCGGCCTCCCTGGGGAGCCCGCGACCGCCCCGAGTCGGGAGCGCGCCCTGAGCGTTGCCAGGCGTTCCGAGTGGGAGGGAAGGTGAACTTCTAAATGAGACACAACGCCTTTTCCGCTTCTGAGCGGACGCCTCGCTTCTGCGGCTCCGATTTCGCCTTCGTTCCCGCCTCCCATCGCGAGGGCCTCTTGGTTCGCACGTTTCCCCGCGTGGCGTTTTGCTGTCGAAGGGCGGCGAGCCTGGTGTGCCCAGGTTGGTGGCCAAGCTCGTTTGAGGGTTCTGGCAACATGTCCTCTCTGCGCCGTCCCACCCTGGTAAAAGATACTGGGCAGCGGGGCCAGGAGGAGTTGGCTCAGGGGGCCGGAACACCTGCCCGGTATGTGGGACACTTGGGTTCGAACCCTGTAACGGAATGTTCCCAGACCACTGCCTGTGGGATCCTCAGAGCAGCCGAAGGGTAAGGCTGTCACTGCCCTCCCGTTGTTCGTCGATTTGCTCGAGCGGGCCCAGTAACGGCTCCATTGGAGACTTTGTTGTTACTGTGTCTGGCAGATGGGGAGCTTGCCAGGCTCTGCCGTGCGGGCGAGATACTCTCGGTAGCTTGTCGGGCTCAGAAACACGAAAAGAAACTGTAGAAATTGTAGAAAGAACGGAGCCAGAACAATACTGCAGCGGGTCGGCCCCTTGCCTTGGATGGGGCCATTTCAGGTTCGATCCCCAGCGCCCTAGATGACCTCCCGAGCCCTATCAGGAATGATTGCTGAGCACGGAGCCAGGAGTAAGTCCTGAGCACTTCCAGATGTGAGCCAGCCCCCCTCCCCCATAAAAACTTGTAAAAGGAAGAAGCGGCAAGACGTTACCACCCCCATGTAATCAGCCCCAAGGAGGGAAGCAGATGGAGGCAGATGCAGCACTTATGTCGTGGGCAGAACCCACGCAGGGTGGTGACCACAAGCACCAGCAGACGTGGACCCCACAAGAGAGACAAATAAGCAACCAAGATTATTGGAGCTACAAAGCCAGCCCGTCTCCACTTACTGCGGCCCCTAACCCCACACGTAGGCCAGTCGGCCAGTCATTGGAGTGGGGTCCAAAAATGGGGTGAGGGGAGCGGAGTTTGTTGATTTTTGTCTGGCATTTGTCACCTGAAGCCGTGGCGAGACCCCCACCACTCGCAGGACAGGGCACTGCTGGCTTTCTGGAGTCAGTCACTCTCCCTGAGTTGGAGCCGCAGGCAGAGGGGGCTCAGGACTAGCCCCCCAGCGTCAGAGCCCCATGCTCAGAGCCGCCCTGATGCCGAGCGAGGCGTTTACAGCTCCACTGGGAGTGGGGGTCAAGTATAGAGCCAGCCCACATGGCACCAGTCTCCCCCCCCTCCCTGAATACTCAGACCTCCATAAGGAGACCCCAGGCACACCCCAGTGGAGGCCCCCTGCGTTTTCAGGACGCGTGTTCATGCCTTATGCATGGCCGACCCCGGCTCCACCCCTGGCACCCTGTGTGGTCCCCCAAGCCCCGCCAGGATCGATCCCAGTGCCCCAAGAATAAAATGAAGCGTTTCACGTTTGCCTCTGAGGAACGGAGAGTAAATGCCCACTGTCAGTTGCAGCATCTGGAGCCAAACTCGGAGCCAGGGCGCGCAGCTCAGGTATGACCTTGGACAGCGTCAACTGGGCAACCGTGGATCGGATCATCCGGGTGGACCACGCCGGTGAATACGGAGCCAACCGCATCTATGCGGGGCAGATGGCCGTCCTGGGCCGCAGCAGCGTGGGGCCGCTCATCCAGGTGGGTGCTCGCTCTCCCTCCCTCCCTCCTCCCTTCCCTGAAAGGAACCGTAGCTTGTCCTGCTTTCTTTTTTATTTTTTTTCTGTCCCGCTTTCTTGGGGGCGGTGCCTATGTCTTGCCTCTGCCCAGGAGTGAAAATTGGTTATTGGGGTGAGGGTGGAGAAAAGCGATCGTGTCTCTGTCGCTTTGTATCAGGCACAGACAGACAGACTGTGGGCAGACACAGCGTCTCTGAAAGCGAATCTTGGGGCTGGAGCGATAGCACAGTGGGGAGGGCGTTTGCCTTGCACGAGGCCCACCTGGGTTCCGTTCCCAGCCTCCCATTGGGTCTTCCGAGCATCACTGGGTGCGACCCAAAAGTGAAAGCAAATCTTTGGAGGGCTGAGCAGCAGTTCCTGGAGAAAGGGGTGGGGGGAGAGAAGAGCCCGGTCACCCCAGGACACAGAGCTGGGAGTTGCCCTGAGCACTGACGAACCCCCCCCCCCAAAAAAAGAAAATCTGGCAAGTGTCAGTTGCAAGTGAGGGCCGTCCCCCCACTGAAGAGACTTGGTTTGGTTTTGGCGCGGAGGCTCCGTGCTGCCCAGCCGGGCTCGGGCCTTTCTTCTGGGCTCTGTGCTCGGGCGCCACGCCTGCAGTGCGTGGGGGACCGCCTCGGGGGCCAGGGTTGAACCAGGGCCAGCCCCGGCGAGGCCCGTGCCTTGAGCTCTGCTCAAGCCCGGGCCCCAACAGGTCCTTGTAACACTGAGGCCTCTCGGGGAGGTGACACAACCCCCTCTGCATCTGCCGCGGCTCCCGCCTCCCAGCGCCCTCTCCCTGGCGGGCCGGTCTCAAGGTCCCGCGTGGCTCCGGGTGGTTTTCCTTGGGGTGGTCTCTTGGACGGGGGAGGGGGTCTCACGCGTGGGAAGCGTTTGCTTCCTGGGGTGATGGGGGGCAGGGCAGGGGGTGGGGGCCTCCCTCTGCGTTTTGCTGCCTGCGGTGCCCCGCCCAGCCTCACGTGCGCTAGCCCACCTCCTCGAGGGCTCCCACCACCTCACGCGTCTGCTCCTCTGCAGAAAATGTGGGACCAGGAGAAGGACCACCTGGAGAAGTTCAGCGAGCTGGTGGTGGCGCTGCGGGTCCGGCCGACGGTTCTGATGCCCGTGTGGAACGTGCTGGGCTTCGCGCTGGGTACGTGGGGGGGGGGGGCGCTGGACCCGCCAGGACCCCCCGCTGCGGGTGCCCGCTCGGTCTCCTCCCTGCCCTGGCAGCCTGTGCCCCTAGGGCCGCAGAAGACTTGTGCCCTGGGGGGCTACCGGGTCCACGAGCACTGACGTCAGCACCGTGGGAGCAGGAGGGCAGGGGGGACGTGCGACTGGCCGAGCGCTGGTGTGCAGACCGGGGCCGGGGGCCCTCCCGGCACTGCGAGAGCCTGACCCCCCCGCCACCCCCCACCAGGAAGGTTCCCGACGGAGCCGGGGCTGCAAAGGATCCTGCAGGCCCCCACCCCAGCACTAGCGTGGCAGGAGGGCGCGTGCCCGCCTGCGCACAGACTGACCCGGGTTCGATTCCTGGAGCCCCGAGCACTCACTGCCGGGGGTGGCCGAAAACCAAGCCGGGAGCGGGAGCGGGGGCGGCGAGAGCGGGCCAACCAGGGTTCGATCCCCAGCATCCCATAGGGTCCCCCACCAGGGTCAATTCCTGAGCATCACCGGGTGTGACCCAAAAAGCAGAAGAAAAAAAAAGAGCGGGCAGCCTCCCCTGGCCACTCGAGCCCGCACCGGACACGGGGCAATGCTCGGAGGCCTTCGGGGTGGCCTGACTGCGGGGCCGGGCGGGGCGCAGGCGCGGGCACGGCCCTGCTGGGGAAGGAGGGCGCCATGGCCTGCACGGTCGCCGTGGAGGAGTCCATCGCCCGCCACTACGACCGCCAGATCAGGACGCTGATGCAGGAGGACCCCGAGAAGTACCAGGAGCTGCTGCAGGTGCCGAGCGCGGGCCGGACGGGCGGGTCTCTGCCCACTTTCTCAGGGGAGGGGGGCAAGGCAGGGATGGGGGCACAGGGCAGCGGGCCACGGGGGCCCCACGGGCCCACTCCCCACTCCCAGCCGCGAGCTTGGGGGCCCCGAAGGGCCTGGGCCTTTTTCCCTGTCCACGTGGCATCAGGCGGGCCGGGCTACCGAGCAGCTGACGCACGTGGCCACGGCCCCAGTCCCCCAGCCCCCACCTGTGTCTCTTGGGACGTTTTCTGGCTCCCCGCCGGGGTCAGGCAGGGCCACTGACCTGCCCGCCCGTCGCTGTCCACCAGGTCATCAAGAAGTTCCGGGACGAAGAGCTGGAGCACCATGACGTGGGCCTGGCCCACGACGCCGAGCTGGTGAGGACCCCCGCCCCTCCTGGCCGCCTCTGCGTCTTCCTACCTCCCCGGCCCATCCTTCCCTCCTCCCGCCTCCCCCTACCTTCCCCTGTCCCTCCCGCCTCCCCCTTTCCTCCGCCAGCATTGATGCTGAAGTTACAGGGAGGGGCAGTTTCTGTCCCCAGAAAACGACAGATGTGCTGAGGGACCCTTCACCCCTTCGCCTTTCCCTGCTCCCTGGGGGAGGTGTCAGTGCGCAGAGCTGGGACCCACCCCGGCCTCCACCCCGCCTCCCCCTGAAGCACAGGGTCGCCCTACGGCCGTGCAGTCTCTCTTGACCGGATCAGAACGGATTGCGCAGGGGTGTTCTCTTTTGTTGTGGTTGTTGCTTTTCGCATCACACCGGTGATGCTCAGGGATTCCTCCTGGCTCTGCACTCAGGAGTCATCCTGGCGGTGCTCGGGGACCCTGTGGGGTGCGGGGATCAAACCGAGTCACGGGGTCCGCCGCGTGCACGGCAAACGCCCTGCCCACTGTGCTGTCGCTTCAGCCCTCCCCTGGGTTTTCTTCTGCACCCAGAGAAGTCGGAGTGTGGGACCCCGCGTGCCTCACCCGCTCCTTGTCCTTGTTTCCGCAGGCTCCCGCGTACAGTGCTCTGAAGCGAGTCATCCAGGCGGGCTGCAGTGCTGCCATTTACCTGTCTGAAAGATTTTAGAGTCTCTGGCTGTGGGTGCTGGTAACAAGCCCTGAGGTTTTCGTGGCTGTTCTCTCGAGTCAGTCTGTGTCTCTCTGTCCAAGGCTGGGGTCCTTGGTGTGGCCGTGGCCCAGGTGAAGCACATCCGAGGGACAGAGCCAAGTATGTCCCGCCCGCGCAGCTGTTACTCCCCCGCTCCTCGCCCCGCGGATGCTGTTCTGCCAGGGCTCAAGGGCTCAAGCCAAAGGCATTGGCCCGCCGTGGACACACCATCCACCAGCAGACCAGGAAGGGCACCTGGGGCGCTGTCACCTGCTCGGGCACCGCTGAGTCTGAAGTCCCTGCCGCTCTGGGACAGTGAAAGCCATTCTGGCAGGGGCCGGGAGGGGGGAGGGGTCGGCAACGTGGCTCAGAGTGTTGGTGTGTGTGTGAGGCCCTGAGTTCCACCTCTGGGACCCCTGGCTGCTGGCCCTAAGCAGTGCAAAGGCCCACACCCCCACGATGGCGCCTGTTGTGGGGTGGACCCTGAGAAGGAGGCTGCAGGGGGGCGGAGTTACAGCGCTTGTCTTGCACACGGCAAATTCTGCACCAGGTACCGGCTCTGCACAGTCCCCTGAGCATTGCGGAGAACGGCCCCAGGCCCCAACGGGCATGACCCAGACACAGGTCGTTTCCCCAGCACCCCAAGAAAACCAACTTGGTTCTGGATTTGGCTGTTCCCCCAAGAACTGCTGGCTAGCTGGGGACTGTGTGAACACCGCCAGGTGTGACATCCACACACCTGAAAATAGCACCAGTCATAAGTCCTATCCAGGGCTGGAGCGAAAGCACAGCGGGTAGGGCGTTTGCCTTGCATGCAGCCGACCTGGCTTCGATTCCCAGCATCCCGTATGGTCCCTGAGCACCACCAGGAGTAACTCCTGAGTGCGTGAGCCAGGAGTAACCCCTGTGCATCGCCGGGTGTGACCCCCGCAAAAAAAATATCTGTCACGTCCATCCTGCCTCAAAAATGTGACCAGAGGGAAGGGAAGAAGAGAAGGAAGCCAGAGGCCGAGGCCGCATCTGCCGGGCTCACTGTCGGGAGCCGGTCGGAGCAGCTGCCCGTGGACACGGGGTGTCTCTCAGGGTGGGAGATCTCCCAGAGTCCATGCAGCGTGGAGAACGCACTGCCAGGTGAGTCGCCTCCGTGACCATTGTTGATAGTTCAGGTTTTTCTCCCCACTCTTGGCGCAGCATGGGGGAGAGTGAGGCCAAACCACAGCTGAGGGGGCAGGGCGATTCTTCCTGGATGGCTCAGGGCATGGAAATAGCCTGAAAACTAGAAAACTGGGCTGTGTATATTGGGGGGGGGGGGGGGGGGGGTTGTCACACCCGGTGGCACTCGGGGCTTGCTGCTGCCTCTGGGGTCGGGACCCTACAGGATAACAGGAACTGAACCCCAGTGGACTGCATGCAGTGCAAGCATCCTTCCTACCGTACCGCCGTTCCAGCTCCCATTTGAGGTTGTTAGTACTCAGGATCACCCCCCAGTGCTCCTCAGGGATTGGGGAGCATGCAGTGCCAGGAATCAGACCCAGGGCTCCTGGACCCTGCGCTGTGCTCCAGCCCTGGGGACCATCTCCTGGCCCCGAGTTACGCTGCCCAGTGCCAGGGGCCCAGCTAGCTGGCTCTCAGGCCCGCCAGGCATCTGCTTCACTGCCGAGTCACATCTGGCCCCGGGGGCCACACACTTCATTCAGTAGCCGAGGTCCTCCGAAGCGGGCTCAGCCTGCACCTTCCCAGCAATTCCTGGCTGCTCACGGGGCATTTCAGAGCCCCGACCCCAGGAGGTACGTTGCCCAGGCTCTCTGCGGAGCTAGGCAGATCAGGCGGTGTTGAGGCGGGAATCCGGGTCGGCTGCGTGCAAGGCCCGTGCCTCCAGCCCCTGATCTTCTCTCTGGCCCGAAGGGGAGATACAGGACGTGGACAGGGGCAGTGACAAAATTCAGGATTGGGGTCTGGGGAGCGCCCAGGAGTTAAGGCACTGGCCTTGCACACAGCCTGCTGTGGTGGATCCCGGGCACCATGTGCTCGCCTGAGCACTACTGGTGTGGTCTGATGCACCCCCAAATGCCCACGCCCACTCCCTGCATCACCGAACAATCTGGGGTTTATAGCCCTATGTTGACTTTGAAAGGAAATTTGGGTCCTTTTGAAGGAAGGGGTAGGGGCCGAGAGATAGTGCAGTGGGGAGGGTGATCCCCAGGACCCCTTCTGGTGCCCCCAAGCACTGCCAGGAGCGATTCCTGGGTGTGGAGCCAGGAATAAGCCAAGCATCACTGAGTATGCCCCCAAACCAAACGGAAGGGGGGGATAGGTCCTTGAAGATAGCAGCCTCCAGCTGGACTCGGAAGAGCTGCCTCCCCGGGCAAAGGCCCCTGATAAACATCAGCTCAGGAGTCCGGACCCATGCGCGCATGGGGCCCATCCCTGTAGAAAGAATGGACCCGCCACTGTGGGTCTGGAACTCCTGGAGCCAGCATAGAGCCCGACACTAGATCGTGCCTCTGGGGGCTGCCAGGAGCTTCCAGAACTAAAGCTTTTCCGAATCCCTCTTACCTGTTTTATCCCATTATGGCTTTGTTACGACTTTTTAAAAAGTCTGTCCACTTCCCCCTGCTTTGCACACAGCCAGCCTGGGCTTGCTTCTTGGGACCCTCTATCGTCCCCATGTCCCACCAGGAGTGATTCTTAAGCACGGCCGGGTGTGGCCCCCAAACCAAAAGGAAACGAAAGCAAGAAAAGCCCCCCCCCCCGGACTGTTTTTGAACCCTGATTCTGGGGACTCCCCCCCCCCATGTTGTAAAGACCACGATCTGCTTTCTGCATCTAGTGGCCTGTGGGGGTCCGCTGGGTGGGGACCCCCTTTCCCTTTCAGGTTTCACAGGGCTTTGACCTGGGTGCTCCGGGGATGCTGAGCTGCACAGTGACCCTGAGTCTGACCGGGCCAGGCCTGTGTTCCAGCCCCTCGTGCTCTCTCCCTTCTGGGGGCAAGGGGGCACTCTGAAGGCCACAAAGGGAATTTCCAGGGAGCCCCCCCACCACCACCCTGGAATCCTGGAAACGCCGAGATCCCTTAGCTCCAAGAGATTTTGACAGGGACGCTCCGTCACCACAGCCCTCCAGGGTCCCTTGCTGCAGGCGGCTGGGGGAAGGGAGCAAGTCTGTTGGTGGGGGGGCAACAGGAGCTTCCCAGTCCTCCCCCCAGAGCCTTAGCAAAGCGATGCAAAGATGCTCTCGCCCTCCCGACCTCGCTGCTTCAGCTCCCCAGACTGCAGCCCTGCGGGGTGGGGACTGTACTGGAAGTTGTCTGGGATCTGGGTCCTAAAGGAGGGGACATCTGGCCAGAGCGGCCCGTGCTGAGCGGGGTCTGTTCAGCCGGTCTGATGTGGCGTCATGCCCGCCTGTGACCACCAGAGGGCAGCCTCGCCCCAGGATTCGAGAGACCGCCCGGGGCAGCCAGGCTGCACGCCTGCAAGGGTATAGGTGTGGGGGGGTACGTGCTGTGTGTGTATGTGTGCATGTGGTGCATGCTGTGTCTGTGTCTGTGTGTTTGATACATGTCCTTTGAGTGTTTGTGGGACATGCTGGGTGCGTGTCTGTGTGTGTGTGTATCTGTGTATGTGTCTGGGTTTGTATGTATGTGTATCGTACATGCTCTGTGTGTGCATGTTTTGTGTGTTATGTGTGATGTGTGTGTTGTGTGTGTTGTGTGTGTCCGTGTGTGTGTGTCTGGCAGGTTCTAGGGAGTTGCTGCGTGTTCCCATCGTTGGTCGCCAGCCAGTCCAGCTCCACTGTGGGAGGGGCGTAGAGTCTCAGGATGAGGAGGGAAGAGTTTCGCCAGCGCACACAAGCCCACTGAGGGCAGGGCCTGGGTTGGATCCCTCCCTCGGGGACGGAGGAAGAGGCCGGGGGCTCAGCTGGACCAGTCTGCTCCGGAGGCAGAGGTCCCTTAGAGGAAGGAGAGAGGAGAAGAGTGGGGGGGGCTGGGGGCACCGGGATTGGTCTCTGCCCAGGGAACTTTCCTGGAAACCAGGGTCCCAGAGTTGAAGACCTGTGTGGAATAAAGCAGGTGACCCTGGGCCCGGAGAGGTGGGTTGGAGTTGAGGCACAGGCCTTGCAGGGCACGCGCGCAGACCCCCGGCACCACGTACCGGCCCGAGTTCCACCCCGAGCATCGCTTCGTAGGCGTGGTCCCGAACACGGAACAAAACCCAACCAGAAAAACACGAGGCCAGAGTGAGAAAATGGCCCATACGGACGCGGGCGTCTCCCCGGCTTAGGTCTCCGCATCCCATATGGTGCCCAGAGCCCTGCTGGAGTGACTCCTGAGCACTGCCGGGTGTGGCCCCCAGACAACAAAACAAAACAACTGAAAAAAGCGAGTGAATCTTCCCCACAGTAAGAACAGCCGCTCTTCTCTGTTTGAACTGGGACTGTGCCCGCCCTCCCTCCCTCCCTCCTTCCTTTCCTTCCTCCCTTTCTTCTTTCCCCCTCCCTCCTTCCTCCCTCCCTCCCTTCCTCCCTCTTTTCCTTCCTTCCTCCCTCCCTCCCTCCTTTCCTCCCTCCCTCCTTTCCTTCCTCCCTCTCTCCCTCCCTCCCTTCCTCCCTCTTTTCCTTCCTTCCTCCCTCCCTCCCTCCTTTCCTCCCTCCCTCCCTCCTTTCCTCCCTCTTTTCCTTCCTTCCTCCCTCCCTCCCTCCTTTCCTCCCTCCCTCCCTCCTTTCCTCCCTCCCTCCCTCTCCCTCCCTCCCCCTCCCTCCTTTCCTTCCTTCCTCCCTCCCTCCCTCCTTTCCTCCCTCCCTCCCTCCTTTCCTCCCTCCCTCCTTTCCTTCCTTCCTCGCTCCCTTCCTCCCTCCTTTCCTTCCTTCCTCCCCCCTCCCTCCCTCCTTTCCTCCCTCCCTCCCTCCCTTCCTCCCTCCTTTCCTTCCTCCCACCCTCCCTACCTTCCTCCCTCCTTCCCTCCTTCCCTCCCTCCCTCCCTCCCTCCCTCCCTTCAAGAATGCAGGCACAGGCGCTTTGCCTAGCCCTCAAAC